TCAGGACATAAAATTCATGTCTGGTAATAATTTACAGCATCATTGCCAACACTGAAATATAGAAAGCATTCATTGTCTTACCTGCCTTCCTCCTTCCTTTGAAGCTCTCTGATTGAGCCTTTTCTGCTTTCAGCTATTTGGGACCAAGATATATAGTTGATATTGTTTTCTTTTCTTTCCTTCTGTTTAAATCCTTAGAGGAAAGTACACAAAACAAAAAAATACAATGATTTATCATACATTCTTATATAACTACTATGTAGGACAAAATGTAAAACATTGCCGAATTTCCAGATGGATCTTCCTGTAATTCCTTCCATTCACCTGCAGAATGAACCGCTGTCCTGATGCTCAGGCCAATTACCTTCTAGCTTTTTTAAAATTTATTTAGAGATGGAGTCTCACTCTGTTACCTAGGCTGGAGTGCAGTGGTGTGATATCAGCTCACTGCAGCCTCCACCTCCGGGGCTCAAGCGATTCTCGTGCCTCAGACTCCTAAGTAGCTTGGATTACAAGTGCCCACCACCATGCCTGGCTAATTTTTGTATTATTTGTAGAGGCATGGTTTTGTCATGTTGTCCAGGCTGGTCTCAAACTCCTGACCTCAGGTGATCCGCCTACCTTGGCCTCCCAAAGTGCTGGGATTACAGGTGTGAGCCACCGTGCCTGGCCACCTTCTAGCTTTTAAAAATAATTTTATCACTAAGTGTGTTTAGTTTTGTCCATTTTTGAATTTTGCATGAATGAATTTAATGATTTTTCATTATGAATGAATTTTGCAAATAATTCTTCACTCAGCATACTATTAGATTGATCTATGATACTGCTTGTAGCAGCAATTCATTTATTTTCATTGTTATATAGTATTTCATTGTATGAATATACTATAGTTCTATATTTGGACATTTTTTCTAGTTTGGGGCTATTATAAAAAGTGTTGTTATGAACACCCTAATACATATAAGCATGCATTTCTGTAAAACACACCCAAGGGTAGAATTGCTAGGTCATAGAGAAAGCAATCTTGAACTTTCATATGCAATGCCAAACTTTTCAAAGTGGTTCTACCAATTGTTTCCACCAGTGGTGTGAGAGTTTCCACTGACCATGTCCAGTTAGTGATTCTGGTAGGCGTATAATGATATTTCATTGTGGTTTTAGGATTTTTTTTTTTTTTTGGCTGAGAAAAATTCAGTAAGAGTTTTCTGAAAATATGAAGGTGAAGCCTTTGGGATTTTTCCTTTTTTTTTTTAAGAGATAGGTGCCATTCTGTCACCTAGGCTAGAGTGTAGTGGCGCGATCATGGCTCACTGCAGCCTTGAACTCATGAGTTTAAGCGATTCTCCCACATCAGCCTCCCAAGAAGCTGGAACTTTAGGTTTGCACCACTACACTCTGCTAACTTTTTAAATTTTTTGTAAAGCTGGAGTCTCTCTGTTGCCCAGGCTGATCTTGAACTCCAGGGGTTCAACAGATCCTCCCGCCTCAGCCTCCAAAAGTGTTGATACTATAGACATGAGCCATTGCCTCTGGCTGCCCTTTGTTTTCAGTTTTCCATGCTGTCACTGTCTTTCAATACCACAGTCATGTTGATATACTTTTTGTTTTGTTTTGTTTTGAGACAGAGCCTTGCTCTGTCACCCAGGCTGGAATACAGTGGTACAATCTTGGCTCACTGCAGCCCCTGCCTCCCAGGCTCAAGCATTCCTTCCACCTTCCCTCCCAAGTAGCTCAGACTACAGATATGTGCCACTGTGCCAGCTAACTTTTTGTAAAGACAGGGTTTTGCCATATTTCCCAGGCTGACTTTGAGCTAGGCTTAAGAGATTCGCGTGCTTCAGCCTCCCAAAGTGCTGGAATTACAGGTGTGAACTGCTGTGCCCAGCCAAGAGTTGATGATACTTTTAAGAAAGTATTTTAAACTTGAATTGGATGCATGAAAGCAGTTAGTTTGGGATATTGCCCAAGATTCTTTCTTTATACTTTTTATTATCATATCTAAAAAACAGATGTATTATTTATCTTTATAATTATTTAGCTGCCATTCCAGGAATCATAGCAATTACTGAGATAAGAGGTATAGTCTGTGGTTTACGGACTTGAATTTAGTGAGTAAATCTTTCTAGTTCCTCTGGAATTGAGCCTTTTTTTTTGTTGTTAGATTTTTTTTAAAAAATAAAGTCCCACCATGGTAACTGATCTGGATGACATTGAATGGCTGGTTACTGTTGAAAAACAGACTTTTAACAGCTCATGGGTAACGTCTGAAAGGTAAAGTGACACTAGATTAATATCTATATTCTACTCTGAAAATAACAAAAGCCATATGGAACCAAGAGTTAATTGACTTGTAAATTTAATCCTATTCTCGGTTGGCGCAGTGGCTCATGCCTGTAATCCCAGCACTTTGGAAGGCCAAGGCCAGCAGATCACCTGAGGTCAGGAGTTTGATACCAGCCTGACCAACATGGAAAAACCCTGTCTCTACTAAAAACACAAAATTAGCCAGGTATGGTGATGCATGCCTGTAATCCCAGCTACTCGGGAGGCTGAGGCAGGAGAATCCCTTGAACCAGGGAGGTGGAGGTTGCGGTGAGCTGAGACCATACCATTGCACTCCAGCTTGGGCAGCAGGAGTGAAACTCTGTCTCCAAAAAAAAAAATTTAATCCCAGTCCAATAATGCCGTGACGTAATGAAAATTGTAACTGTGATTTCTTTTTGTGCAAGTAATACTCAGAATGGAAAATAATGAAGATAATGCTTTGAAGGTTGTACACGAGGATTAAATTTTGTATAAAATTTCATTGTGTGTGTTGGTGTTTAAAAAATCTTAATATGCACCGAAAAGAGAATTATGGAAGTTTTTCTGGATAATTGAGTGTCCAGAAATACTAGTTTGATAGCTATTTATAAGTGTGAAACAATTATGTTGTTTTATTCTCTAGTTTAAAGGAAAAATGTATATTTCTAAAATATTTTTATAATAGAATAATTTAACCTTAGATTTTGTCACATTAATAGTCATTTAGTAATAGAAAAGTTTTTTAAGATGAAAAGTTTTAGGTGCTTTAAAAGGATTGATGTAAGCGTTATCTGAAAACAATTATAATTTAAACTTGGAAGGTAAATACTTAAAACGTAAAGTCTGATCTCATCAAACATAAAGTAGGAAAAAAATATGTGTATGGTTATTTTTGGTACTTAATAAGAGTGAACCCTTTACTAATTGTGGTTTATTCTCTCCTGCTTGTTGTAGAGCTTGGAATATAATTGGCTGTACAACTTTTGATTTTAACATTTTATTGAAACTAAATTGATGCTTTGAATAAAAGAAACCTCGACACTTCCTGTGTAGAGTCACAAGTTGTATTTTCTGATACTGACAGGTTTTAAACAGAATTTGAAAGATTTCTAGTAAAGGCAATAAATTTTATTTTTGGAAAAATTGCAAAATGGAAATTTGGATGAATGAAAGCCAAGGAGATTTCTGGTATTTTTCTTTGTTTTTTCTTTCTTTCTTTTTTTTCTTTTTTTGTGTAGAGACAAGGTCTCACTCTGACATCCAGGCTGGAGTGCAGTGGTGCAGTCATAGCTCACTGCAGCCTCAAACTCCTGCAGTCAAGCAATTTTCCTGCCTCAGCCACCTGAGCATGTGCCACATTTTTTTTTTTTTTTTTTTTTTTGAGAAGAGGTCTCACTGTGTTTCCCAGGCCGATCTCAAAACTTCTGGACTCAAATGATCCTCCTGCCTTAGCCTCCAAAAGCACTGGGATGATGACAGGCATGAGCCACCTCAGCCAGCTGGTTTCATTTTAAAGAAGATAGTGTCTGTCAAATTTAACAGATTAAGAATCAAAATAAGAAAAATCTATATATATTTTATTTTTTGGTCTTTTCATACTTGAAATTTATCACTTGAAGATAAATTTTGAAGTTGATCACTTGTTTTCTCCATTATAGTCACATATGTAAACAGTAAATTGTTTGAAAATTTAATGTTAACAATTAGATTCCTGATAATAGTACACGAGGATATTCGTACTGGCATTCCGAATGACAAGTATTGCTAACAGCCTGTCTTGGTTCATTTCCAAAGAATGTGAACTTTTTCAACCTTTTAAAATTTGGCGGTCACTCATATTTGACCCTCAGGTAAGCAGAGCAAACATCAGGGACCCAGATCTTATCGTTTTTGGCCATTCAGTTTTTGAAGTAGGCCTCATTAAAGCCTGAAAAAGTGCACAGATATCTTCTTGGATTGTTTTCTGTTGTTGTTTTTGAGATGGAGTCTTGATCTGTTCCCTGGCTGGAGTGCAGTTGTGTGATCTTGGCTCACTGCAACCTCCACCTCCTGGGTTCAAGCAATTCTTGTGCCTTAGCCTCCTAAGTAGCTGGGACTACAGGTATTCACTTGGCTAATTTTTGTATTTTTTCAGTAGAGACGGGGTTTTGCCGTGTTGGCCAGGCTGGTCTCAAACTCCTGACCTCAGGTGATCTGCCCACCTCCGCCACCCAGAATGCTGATATTACAGGTGTGAGCCACCACGCCCAGCCTTGAATTGTTTAATTGATCAGCTTATCACAAGTGACAGGCCACACATTTATGTTAATAATTTAGTTAATTTAAATGAACCTACAAGTTCTTCTAATTTGGGCAAGACCACTTACAAATAAATTGCTGTGTTTCAAATTAGCTGTGATAGGTGCTGATTTTACCATGTAAGTAGATAATTCAACTCTGGTTATTATTAACTGAAAAGCCCTTTTAATCAAAAATTAAGCTTAATTCCTTTTTAAATTAAAAATGAATATTTGCTTTATAATACTCTCTACTTGGCAGAGTTTCAGATTCCGGTAAACAATGGATACTGTTTTCGTTTTAGACACTAGTAGTCTGAATAAAGACTCAGGGAAAAAATCAAAATCAAGCCATGGAATGTGAAATACTGCAATGACATGGAATATCACTTTCTGAACTTTTCATCTTTTACTTTTAAGATAGAGATACAGATACCACCATGAAGGGGAATGTGGATGACTTTGGCCTACGAGACACCTTGAGCATCGCATCCACGGATTCCTTTGCTTCAGCAGCAGAGGTAGGACATGTGTTTTCCTAATGAGTATTTCTGTTTCTTTTTTGCTGGAAAGATCAGTCTTGTCATTATACTGTAATTCAGTTCAGTCACTATTTAGCATCTGTCCTGTGGTAGGTACCAGGATATAAAAATGAATAAATCTAACATGAAAATAAGCTCCTACAGGAGCTTACCATCTTCTTAAGGAGATGGACCTGTAAACACATGGTTTAGATGGGCATTTTCATATACTGTAGATTACAGGTGAGGCATATAAATTAGTATGTTAATGGAAAGAAATGTTTCAGCTTATATCAAGAGTTTTAAAGATGTTCAGTTTCTTTAGTTCAGAAATCATACTTCTAGATTTTTGTTCTAAGAAAATGATCAAAGATTTTATATATATAAATATTGACTGTTGGCCAGGTGCAGTGGCTCATGCCTGTAGTCCCAATACTTTGGGAGGCTGAGGTGGAAGGATTGCTTGAGCTCAGGAGTTTGAGACCAGCCTGGGCAACATAGTGAGACCTTGTCTCTACAAAAAATTTAAAAAATTAACCAGATGTGATGGTGAGTAGCATATAGTTCTGGTTCAGGAAGCTGAGTTGGGAGGCTCCCTTAAACCCAAGAGGTTGAGACTGCAGTGGGCCATGATTGTGCCACTGCACTCCAGACTGGGTGACAGAGCAAGACCCTGTCTCAAAAAAAAATAATTAAAAAAATACACACACACACACACACAAATTCACTGTGGCATTTTAGTAACAATGAAAAACTGAAAAAACAATCTAATGCCAAATTATGCTATACTTGTAATTAGAAATACAGAGCTATAAACATGGTTCCAATAATTTTAATGACATGAGGGAACATAAGTGAAAAGAGTAGTATGTAAAGTTTTATATAGATTGTATGATTATAATTTTGTAAAAAGGAAACAAAAACATGCACGATATAGAAGAATATAGGCAAAGGAAAAAAGGCTAACAATAAATAAACAGTAGTGATAACTGAATTATAAATCTGTGGGTAATTTGTTTTTCACTGAGATTTAAATTTTGTACCAAAAGAGACTGCTTGAAAAGAGGTCATCTTTTGTTTTTATTTTTATATTAAAACAGCTTTAAAAATTACATGTGGCCAATTTTATCTCAGATTTGCATTTTTACAGTAGATTTTGGATATTAAAATTTTAGGTGCTCTTTTTTTTATATATAAATAGTATTATGCATCTAGCTGGGCATGGTGACTTATGCCTGTTATCCCAGAACTTTGCGAGGCTGAGGGAGGCAGATCACCTGAGGTCAGGAGGTTGAGACCAGCCTGGTCAACCTGGTGAAATCCCGTTTCTACTAAAAATTAAAAAATTAGCAGTGTTATGGTGGTGCATGCCTGTAATCACAGTTACTCAGGAGGCTGAGGCACAAGAATCTCTTGAACCTGGGAGGTGGAGGTTGCAGTATGCCAAGATCATACCACTGCACTCCAGCCTGGGCAACAGAGTGAGACTCTGTCTCACACAGACGTGCGCAAGAATAGTATTACACATCTGTAACTGATGTGTGAATTTTATCTCTAGGGCGGAAGCTTTAGATACTCCAATACCTGTACCTTAAACCTTGATTCTGCCTTTTTAAAAGCAGTACTGATTCATGTATTTCATCCTACCAAGGTTTTTCTGTATGTGTATATTTCAGCCATCACTTACAGTATCATCTTCTAATTGTTTACATTGAAAAAAATATTTTTCTACCTATAAGTTTTCAGTAGACAGAATATATCTACTTGTTCAACAGGAAAGCTGTTTCCTCTTCCTTTTACGATTTGTTATATACATGTTTATTTTTCTGTTCTGTAGATGCTACGTCCTAGATGTTTTGTAAGGAGAAAAATTGCTATACACTTTGCACTTTTTTCCATTGTTAGGAACAGTGTACCTAATTGCTCTAAAGTGTTTTTTTTCTAATATACAACTTTAAAAAATATTTTTCTAAGTGTTCATTATACTCACTTTAAATTTATTGTTTAGTAAGATTTAATAAAAATTATTAAATACTTGTGGAAAACAGAATGTATAATATACACAAAAAGGACTCAATATTCAAGAAATATCCTCTTAGAATGCTTCCATGGTATAAATGTATGGTCTCAGAATGTGAATGTTCCAAGATAAAATCTTTTATAAGAAATGTTTGTTGCCGGGCGTGGTGGCTCATGCCTGTAATCCCAGCACTTTGGGAGGCTGAGGCAGGTGGATTGCTTGAAGTCAGGAGTTCGAGACCAGCCTAGCCAACATGGTGAAACACCGTCTCAAAAAAAAAAAACAAAAGAAATGTTTGTTAAATTATTTTTAACTATATGCCAAGCACTTAAAGTTAAATTAGGGAAAACTGTTTTCTTTTTTTTGAGATTGAGTCTTGCTCTGTCACCCAGGCTGTAGTGCAGTGGCACAATCTTGGCTTATGGCATCCTCCGCCATCCGGGTTCAAATGATTCCCCTGCCTCAGCCTCCTAAGTAGCTGGACTCCAGGCGCATGCCACCACACCTGGCTAATTATTTTTTTTTTTTTTTTTTTTTTTTTGTATTTTAGTAGAGATGGGGTTTCACCGTGTTGTTCAGGATGGTCTCAATCTCCTGACCTCATGATCTGCCCGCCTCGGCCTCCCAAAGTGCTGGGATTACAGGTGTGAGCCACCGCACCCGGCCGGAAAACTGTTTTAATGAAGAAAGTTACTGAATTAATAAAATCAGAACTCTTTTGGAAGTTAGACAGTTTTTGATCATTTGAAAACCTTTTCAGTATTACAAGAAAGATTTCTTGCCTAGTTAGATCAAAATAATTTCTGGAATAGGTTTTTCTGTAAGCTAGATCAATCATTTGTGAAAGTGATTAACAAGATTTTCCTATAAAAGCTTTGCCAAACATTGGTTTGGAACCATAGATGAAAAGTTTTTTGTTTTTTTTTTTTAATTATAGCTTTCTTGACATACAATTCACATGCCATAAAATTCACCCTTTTAAAGTATAGAGTTCAGTGGTTTTTTAGTATGTTTATATAGTTGCACAGCAAGCACTACTTTCTAATTTCAGAACATTTTTATTACCCTAAAAACAAACCCTTACCCATTAGCAGTCACTCTCCAGCTCCCTTTACCCCCCAGCCATTGGTACCCAATAACCTACCTTCTGACCATGAATTTCCCTTATTCTGGACATTTCTTCTAAGTGGAATCATACCATGTGATATGTTGTATTTGGCTTTCCTTCATTTAGCATAATGTTTTCTTTCAAGTTCTGAAAAGTCTTTTTAATGTTAGGATACCTTCACATTTTACTCCTAATCTTTCCATCTGTTAAAGATATTATCATTTAATAGGTAGAAACTAATATTGCAGAGAGCAGTTTTTAGCTATAGATTCCATTTTTTGAAAGAATTACCAAGAAAAAAAAAAAAAGGAAAGAAAAGAATTACCACTCTGCAATGTGTACATGTGTTTAACAGAGAAATCACAGGCTTCTCTATAAAAAGAAAATTTTATTTTAAAAAGTGTTTTTTTAAATAGAGATGGGGTCTTGCTATGTTGCCCAGGCTGGTCTCAAACTCCTGAGCTCAAGCAGTCCTCCCACATCAGCCTCCCAAAGTCCTGGGATTACAGGCGTGAGCCACTGTGTCTAGCTGAAAATTTTATTTTTTATAATTTAGATATCTCTACTTGTACTCTAACTGGAACCTTAGAAAGCTTTTGCTATATCCACCTCTCTGATTTGACAGGTCTTATTTATAGCAATCCAAAAAATACACCAATAATAATATACAAAGCAATCAAGATAAATATTTAGGATAATTATAACCTCAAAAGGGAAGGAGGGCTATATCTATCATTTAAAATTTTTCTCCTATGAAAGTATGAAGGCATGTCTGGGCATGGTGGCTCACACCTGTAATCTTAGCACTTTGGGAGGCTAAGGTGGGCAGATGGCCTGAGGTCAGGAGTTTGAGACTAGCCTGGCCAAAAATGGTGAAACCCCATCCCTACTAAAAATACAAAAATTAGCCAGCATGGTGTTGTGTGCCTGTAATCCCAGCTAGTCAGGAACCTGAGGCAGAAGAATCGCTTGAACCTGGGAGGTGGAGGTTGCGGTGAGCCAAAATCATGCCACTGTACTCCAGACTGGGCAACAGAGTGAGACTTTGTCTCAAAAAAAAAAAAAAAAAAAAAAATGTATGAAGTCTGGATTGGGACTCAAAGATCTATTCCCAAGATAACTCACCCCGATGAGTAGAAAGTTGGTGTTATCCATTGACAGACGACCTAAGTTTCTCACCACATTGACTTTTCTATAGGACTATTTGATTATCTTTACAACATGGCACCTGGCTTCCCGAAGAGGGAGTAACCAAGAGAGGGCAGGGTGGAAGTCATGACTGTTTTGACCTATCCTCAGAAATCTCATTCTGTCATTTCCACAATGTGCTGTTGGTTACACAGGTTAGCCTTATTCAGTGTGGGATGGGGTGTGAGTAGCCAGGGTGAAAGAACCATTGAAGACCAATTTAGAGGGTGGCTGTTTTCAGTTCCTATTTTCTGTTAGGGGATATAGATAGGCAATAGCCTGCTTTAACTGTAAGTCTTATTTGTAATTTTAGGTGATTGATTTGAAAGGAAAATGTAAACATGTATAAAATGGTCCACTTTAAAATAGAACTTAACCTGTTTCATGTCCCTGCTTGTAATAATCTCGAGACTTCAGACATTTCATTCATGGTCATTCAGAGGACCTGGTCTGGATTAAGGCTGTTAAAAAATATTACTTCACATTTAACGAAGTCTTTACATGCCAAGGAAGATAAGGTTTAGTCCATCTTATACCTCATGGGGCCCAAGAGAAGTGATTTAGGATGTTTGAAATCTTTAGTTAATCCCCAAGCACTGTTTTCACTGGTTGATTCATATGTGGGAATTACCTATTTTTATTGTTGCTGTTGTTGACTTGTTTGATTTCTTTCTTTCTTTCTTT